CATCCTGGATGTCCGGCCGCGCGGACGTGGTCGTTAGTTCCTGGTGGACTGGAAGGGGTATGGTCCTGAGCACCGGCAGTGGATCCCTGGGTCCTGGATCGAGGATCCCTCTCTTATCCTGGACTTTGAGGCCTCCCGTTTTGCCTCCTCCTTCGCCTCCTCCTCGGCTGAGCCACCAGGTGGTGTCCCTTGGGGGGGGGGGGGGGGGGGGGGGGGGGGGGTACTGTCACGGTCTGCCTCTATCAGCAGGTGAGGTAACCTGGAAGTCAGCTGTTTGTGTTGCAGGTGGGCGTGGCACGAGCTCCAGCTGATCCTGATTCCGCTAATCAGAGTGCCAGGGGATTTAAGGAGTGGTGTGACACAACTCCAGCGCTGGTTGATACTCTCACCAGGGTAGTTTCTAGCCTGATCTTCCAACGAACTTGTTCTATGAGATCCTGTATGCTCTTGTTTCTAGTATTGCGCCTTGCATCCTCAAACCACGCCTGGAGTTGTTTTCCTCGTCCCGTTGCTCAGGTTCCTCTGGCCTCCACTCTCTATCGCTCTGCCTGCCTGCCTGCCAACCTACACCCTGGACTCACACAACCTTCTCCTGTCCACCTCCTCTACAACCATCGGACCTGCCGCCTCTCCTCCACTGAACTTCACCCGGTCCACCACCGCTAAGAACTGGTTTAAGACCATTTTCGGTCCATTCCTGTTCTTGCTTTTTCTGGAACAGCACCCTTAGTTTTTCCTTAGCTTCATTTAATAAAAATATTTTACTCTTTTACTTACCTGGTTTTCACGTGTGGTTCTTCATGTCCTGGGTTAAGCACCTTGCCCACAACATGACACTTGGATTCTAATTGGCTTTACTGATCTCTTGCAACACCAATCTCTGGCAGATGAGTTTAATGAGAAGATATGGATCACATCTCCTCTGGGAGGAGGCTGAGCTGAACCAGGTTTAGTTTCCAGAGTTACTTTGGAGTCAGCACCGTGACATCACTCTGTGGTGGCCTGGTAGGTGTGATGAATAAAACCAGCTGTGAATCAACACGAGGATGACTTTAGAAAAGGGCTGAGCAGGTTTGGCTTCTTCACTTCTGATTAGAACCAGAGATCCTGAATGCTGCTTTTATAAAAGTGGTGCTGCATGTCTAACCTTCCCCATGTCCACTTTGGCTCAAGGAACTACCCATCCGACAGCACACCCTGACAGCTGAAGCCTGTTAGGGTGTGTTTGGAGTGGGGCTAGGGTGGAAAGAGGAGAGGGGGCGAGAGGGCGTGAGGAAGGGCAAACCCATAAGCTCACAGTACATCCGGCCTCGGGCCCCATCTGGAATAAGACACAGCCGCTCCCACAGAACAGAAAGGGGACTTCAGATTGGATGAAAAATACAAGGGAAACTCTTAGTGCTACAGAAACTATAAGAATAAGATGATGACTGGATCTCTGCTGCTGCATTTGCCACAGCTGATTTCCCTACTGAATACAAGTTTAAATAAGTCATTTTCACGAGTACTTTTAGTTTATACAGAGCAGAATCAATCTTTGTATATGTTCATGTGCTTAGCAGATGCTTTTACCCAAAGCGACTTACAATTTTTTTTACCTATAGGGCATGTTGTGATCTGTGGGGGAAACTGGAGTACCCGGAGAAAACCCACGCATGGGGAGAACATGCAACTCCACGCAGAAAGGCCACAGCCGAGTTTCGAACCTGCGACCTTCGTGTTGTGAGGCAACAGTGCTAACCACTGCGCCACCATGCAGCCCATATAATATATAAACCATGCAGCCCATATAATATATAAACCATGCAGCCCATATAATATATAAACAGATTAGTAACCATGCAAGGCTCAGTGATTCCTCCAAAACAATGTCTCAGAAGGTGTTTGCTTTTGAATAAGGGCTTTGAATTAAATAACACAAGTTAGTACATTTGTTTGTATATTCACTTAATTATTTATATGATTATTGAGATGTATAAACACAATCATATGCAAAGTAAAAGCTCCTGTTTTTGCAGCAGTTGGGCTCAAAGGTGTCTGATAACAGGATGGAAAGGAAACCAGCAAGAAACAATTTGATTTGCATCTTCAGCAGTTTCAGCTGTGTGAATGGGGCTTATGAATTCATAGCATTCCTATTAATCCGAGCTAGAGCAAAGAAAAGACAAGTTGCTGGAATTTATGGATGATGAAAATTAAAGTGACAGTCACAAAAAGAAAAGCCTCGGAAACGTGGTTAGCTCCTGTGAGTGTGCAGCACTCTTCCTGCTCTTAATCTGATCTACAGAAAAGTTTCTGACTAGTCTGTAAAAAAAAAAACACAGGAAGTGTGTAAGTGGCTGTAGAGTCGAGGTCTGGATCAAGTCTTCTTTTTAGGAGTTGAGGATAGGCAAAGGAATGAGGTCAAAGGTCAGACTGTAGATACAGGCAACCCTCAGATGTATCATGTGGGTGAGTGTCCCACAGATGCTTGCAGGAAAGGGAGAAAACCAGTGATGTCAGACTTGTAGTATGTGAATCCCTCCTCCTCTTCCTCCTCCTTGCGTTCAAATTTTTTCTCAGATTTTTGTGAGGCCTCAGTTTCTTTCCTCTCCCGCACCAGATGACCAGAAGGTTTGCTTGGGCTCATGAACTGTGAGTCTTGGAGCTCCTCCCTCTTCCTTTCTCCCACCCTTCTTTTGCTTTTCTCCCCCTTCATCTATCCATCTCCGTCAATCCTGAGGACAGGCTGTGGTCGGCAACAAAGCCTCTTCCTTATTGTTGTCAGCAGGATGATGAAACTTTCCCTGCATCCTCTCTTCCTCCCTCTGCCATCCTCCAGCTGCCCTCTGCTCATCACACCCAGGGGTGGATGGGTGAGGGTGGGGGTGGAGGTGGGGGTGGTTGGGTGTGTTTGTTGAGAACCCAGAAAAAGGCTGAAACACAAAGATTTGTGTTAGTCATCTTCAGATGGGGATTTTGAGGGAAGGTAAGAGCCGTGAATGGTTGAGCAGATTGTTTTGACATGAAATCTTAAAGTACAAAAGGTACAAAACAAGATTTGTAGATGTTTTGGGTGTATGTTATTTTAAAAATGCAAAAGGAAAATATATTTCTTCTAAAGTTTACTGACCCAACAGGAATTTATGAAAAGTAGTTTCATTTCTTCAGCTGTAGACGTTTTACTGTTTTTTATTATTTTTTTCAGGCTTATGCAAAAATTCTGAGTTCTGGTCTGTTTGCAGCAAAAAGCCAAAAAAGTGACTTTAGATTCAGTAAAAATAAATTTGACTTTGAAAAGTAAGATATCTTTTTATATTTTTGATGCATAAAAATAACTAAGAGTTAGTTTTGCTATGTATCAAATCTGACAGCCAGTGTGTGTGTGTGTGTGTGTGTGTGTGTGTGTGTGTGTGTGTGTGTGTGTGTGTGTCATTGTGGAGTGAAACCACATGTTGAATGGGGGGGTTGAGAAGGGCCGTGTGAAACTGTGGATCCGAGGTGGAGGGAAGGGTGTGCAGCGTGTGTGGATGCTCACATTCCTGGGGGACAGGAGGAAGTGGGAGATGGAGGTGTCTATGTGTGCATGTGTTTGTGTGGGTGGTGCTCAAAGGGCTGCAGTGGGTCACATTTTTCCAGCGATGGGACCCCACAGTTCTCCGGCTCCCATCTGAGGGACTTTTATTCTGACATCCGGCTTGTGGATGCGGCCAACTCCCTGCCTCCCCCCTCCCCCTCCCCATCCTTTTCATCTTCCTCATCCTCATCTTCAGCTGCGTTTCACGACAGACAGAACAAATCTTTCAGAAACCGTGAAGTGAAACTGCTAAAAAAATTTACATTTGACATAAGAAACATTTTTGATCAGCAAAAGTAGAAAAATACAAATAAATTATTGGTCGGTGTTGCCTTTAAAACATTAATTAATGTGACTCAGTGCTAAAAGCTGTTGCTCAATAATCAACTAATAAACCTAAACTTTTTATTTCAGCTGATTTGATCATTTTCAAACACATTTTTTATTTTATCTGCACATTCAGACTAGAATCATGGTGGTTGTGAGCTTTATGAATGTGAGTGGATTAATAAATGCATTAAAATGTGTATTTTAAAGGTCACTTGGAGGCAGTTTCTATCCAAAAAGTTCAACTTTTAATGTAGATTTTTTTAAAATACTTATAACAATTTTTTTTCTTCTGTGAAAGACGTTCCTTTCCAGTCTGTCTCTGTCTGAGCATCAGTATTATGGGTCTTATCTGTTAATTGGAGGATTGAGTTTCCTGTAATCTTAGAGCTAATAATCGCTGGATTTAGCAGACTGGCTTTGTTTATGCTGTGTCTCTCCAACCGTCTGACAAACAACTCAGAAACTCTAAAACGGGCCAGGACAGCTTACCGAGACCTGCTTCATCTGTTGTGCCTGAAAAAACAAAAATTTTATTTCACAGCATATTAAAACAAATGTTTTTCCCAATTCTAAACTTTGTGTTTAATTTATACCAGTTAAAAACTCACCTCATATCTGCTGTACATGTTGAAAATCAAGGCTGTGTTTTGGGACTTGTAGGTTTATCAGATCTGCTTACACACAGCTGCTTTTACAGAAGCATTTCGTATCTTTTCTCTTTTTAATGTCTAAGTGCTAAAAGTTAAAGGAAAGACGTTAAAATAAAGAAATAACAGGATTAAAGCCAATAACTTCAAGATAAAGATATTTGTAGGACTCAACAATGAATGCAGGGTTATATTTTTAAAACATAGTCATGGAGATTTGAAGTTCAGTTGCTCAGTGTACAAAGCCAGCTTGTCTGTATGTTCTTAAAGTGATTTCCCTGTTTTTGTGGCTCAGGAGTTTAAAAATGTGGACGGCGATGAGTACCATGCAGACATGTCCACTCTGGCGTCCCCCACCTCCCAGGGCAGCCCGGACGTCTACATCCTGCCGCTCACAGAGGTGTCCCTGCCGACCACCAAGCAACCCGCCCGATCAGGTGAGCCACACTTTAGCCCTAAAAGGTTGAACATTTTTTAAATGCAGGATGAAAGTGAACACATTAATGAGAGGACAAAAGACCCATCCTTCAGTTTTCATTTGCATGTTTTTGGCTGATGAGGTGTTTAAAGTCTCTCCTGGAGTAATGCTTAATGGATAAACTGAAAGATGGACCTGGAAAAGATTTTTTTCTGTCCTTTATGATTTATAACTCTCACCTTTGCTGGTGCACATTTTGCAGCAGCTTTCTTAAAGGGCCAGAACATTTCATTGGTGTGAGAGTAAGGGAGGAGTGAGGAGTGGTTTGTGTGTCTCTGGAGTGAGCACCACCCAGATACTGGTCAGCTGGGCCTCTCCACCTATCCCACAGTCCCTCACAGCAGAATGAACTCTTTAACTTTCTCCCACAAACATCTGCAAGTTGCATAATAACGTCCAAGCAGCTGGCCTACGCTGTTGTTTGCTGGTATGTGAGGCATGCGAGAGCACAAAACCCCAGTGAGAAGATTCTGCCTTCCCTCCTCCTGCCTGTGTGGAACAGAGCAACACATTGTGTGTTAATGGGGCCAAACTGCCCGATAAACTTATGACACACAACTGAAGTCATGCACATATGCAAAACACTGGTGCAGCTCAAAAGAAAAATGGGAAAAACCTAAACTCATTCTTCAGTTTAGTACATGTAGCATTACAGACTTCATGTTTGGTTATCGAAATGTTCAAAAGTCAGACAAAAGAAATCCTATCAGCTTCAGACAAAAGCTCAAACTAATTCTTCTGCGTTTGATTTGTGGATGAGAAGAAAAACATTTTGTCAAGTGAACTGACTAACACATGTTTTGTCCTTGCTGAAAGATAGAAACCATATGGTGCAACAGTCATGGATTCATTACTGTCCCTCCAGGACAACCTCGCCCTGTGACATCATCCGAGAAAATTCATTTTTGTTTCTTGAGCCTGACATAATGAAGAGATTATTCTGTTGCAGAACTTTTTAAATTGGACTTTTCATCCCAAACAGAGCGGGCCTCTGGTATTTCCTAGACACTTCCTGGTTTAGGTTGATGTGAACACAAAGTGCTGTTGAAAATGCATTTACTGTTTTTTTTTTTAATTACACCAAAGCAACTTGACATTTAGCAGCAGAATGGAAAAGGAAACAAGGCCATTGAGCATTAGAATGAAGAAAACCGACAGTTATGACAAAAACAGCAACATTCCTACTGAGACTAAAGAGTTCAGTTCAGTTCAGTTCAGTTTTAGTTTATTTGTCATATGCAAGTTAGCACAGGGTCAACATTGCAATGAAACGTGTATGACGAGCAGCGGTCTCTCAGCAACATGATACAGGAGAAAATATAATAAAATATAATAAAATATAATAAAATAAAGCAAAAAAATATAGTAAGGAGCAAAATATTAGAGAGACATGGTAAAAGGGAAAAGATGACTAAATATATATGTGTCAATAAAGAAAATCCTGAAAAGAAATATGACGGGAGGGCAGATGGGATATTGCACAGGAATGAGCTGCAGAAAATTACAGTATTGCACTTTAGATATAAATTACAGTATTGCAGGATATAAATTATGCAGGATATAGATTACAGTGTTGCACTTTGGATATAAATTACAATAACAATAAAGTGAAGTGACCAGTACGGATTAAATATAGTACTTGTGAAGCTGCAGGGTAGCTTCTGGGTCCTGTGTTGTGTGTGTTTAGGTGTTGTGGTTGAGGTGTCGTATGGCTTGATGATAGAAACTGTTTTTAAGTCTTGTAGACAAGGTTTAAGAGGTTTAAAGGTTACTACTGACACTCATAATCTCAGATTTCTAATCTCTCGTCATCCCTGAGTCCTGAAGTATTTTGTACCATGTAGTAAACTGTAGCTGCTCTCAGCGTTCTTTGGTCCTTCATCGCTCTGCGGCTGAAGTCAACTCGTCTAGTGGGTGGAGTTCTTCTCGAGGCACTAGAAGAGTTTGGCTCAGACCAGAGTCCAGTTCTGAGGATCCACCCTGACGCAGCTGTTGTGCTCGTCACGCTGCTCTCCGAAGACTTACCGAGCTTTAGGAGGAAGAATCAGACCAAACACAAAAACTGTTCTCATGTGCACGCAGAAAGCAGATACATCCAGCTGCTAAATCAATGCTCTCTGAGCTCCTCATGATGGACGAGCAGATATTAAAACTGATGTCAAACGATTGACATCTGGACCAGGATGGAGCGGATTGATGGGAATTCCATTTGGTTCCGAGTAATTCAGATAGGAGCTATTGACGTCTTGTCTTCTGTAGTCATTAGGTCTGATGGATTCTTCACGCAGGATTTCAGCAGCAAACATCTTAGAGGCTCAAGTTGAGATGTCGATTAGGACTGGGGAGAACGGTCAGAGGCTGGAGGATTTATTATTTATGGGTCGTAGTTTGATCGTGTCACAAATATTCTGTCTCTGTCACTATAAAATCGACTGATTGTGCCTGATGAAGGACCAGCTTTGGGTGATCACAGCAGGCTGACCAGAATTTACAAAACAGGAAAAAAAAAACTGTAGGGCTGGAGTTTTGGTTACAGCACATGAAGTGAGACTCTGATTGTTCCTTCACACCCGCATTCTGTAGTACGCCAATTATAAAAATACCTCATTAGTAAAATCTTAAAACAGTAAATCTGACTCTAATGCCTTTGAGACACTTCTTCTCCCAGAATGCATCCTGTTTTGTGTAGGATTTCTTGAATACTTGCTGTAAACATGCTGGTGTAGGTGGAACCCGTGGCCTGCCACTGCTATCCCCAAACCTTTGTTCATTTCCAGTGTTGTGTTGCTGTGGGATAATAGTCCCAGTGTATGGGCTCTAACTGGTCCTAACTGGTGCCATGCTGACCTACGCAGCCAGACAATAGTGACTATTCTGCCTTTAGGCTGCAGAAAGTGTGAGTGGGTGTAAGGAATGACCAATCTGAAGAAGAGAACATGGGCGTCCAATAAGGCCTCCACACAGTGGCAGGGCTGTGTTGTAATCGGGTGGGGGGGCTAGAGCACCACAAAGATCTGCTTGTTGTTGCTACAGAGAATCTAAGTGTCACTGTGGGCGACGCAGACTGAAATCAAGAAGATGGATGGAGTCGGGGATGGTGCAGTTAGTGTGTTTTGTTTGGCTGAGCTGGGATGGGGCTGAATGGGACAGAACAGGACGGTCAGAGATGCTCTGCAGGCAGTTTGGTCGCGGGTCATCGGGGATGCTTACGGAGACATATTAGGGAGCTGGAGGACAGACAGACAGATCGGAGCCGGAAACAGCTCGGCGTGGAGTAGCAAAGCGAAGACTGTGGTGCATCGTCAGCTGGGAGCTTCCTCTGGCAAACTGGGATAATTCACTTTAGAGATGGTCGATAACAATCGATTGGATAGTGGAGACCTACCCACCTGGATGTGGTTCGTTATGTGATCGTGCTTTTCAAATGTTTCCATCCGCACAGTGCTGAGCAAAAATCTTAAGATACACCAACAAATGATCTTGATCGCGAAATCCTCAGACTTCTCAAAACTCAGTTCTTGTAACCGAGGACGTTTTTTTTTCCTACTTTTCTTTAAAAATCTGATGTAGTTTTTGTGAAGTCTTGTTTTTCTGTATTTTAAATGCACGGGACCATGTTTAGAAATAGTTTTCAGACCTTAGATTAAGTCTATAAAAATGGATCAGCTTGTTCAGAGGTAAATAACCACATTTTTCCCGTGCGTTGTTCTGTATTGCAACAGAAATGTGGCATTTTGTCCTGATGATGAAAGTGTTTAAGCGAAAGTGCTCCATATTCACCGTGATGGACTCATATGGAAATGTGAGGGCTATTAACAGCCTGGATTTACATTTTAACAACACATTATCACATTTAGCCCAATTATCGGTTGTCATGTACCATTGTGCAGTTTGGAGGAAATGGAATAAATCACATGCGACCCTTTCTCTGTCTTTTCCAGTCCAGCAGCTGAAATCCACAGATTTGAGCCGCCACAGTCTGCTCTACCTGAAAGAGATCGGGAATGGTTGGTTTGGGAAGGTAAGATGACCCCTGGGAGCTGCTCACATAGAACATGCTGTCATGTCTGAGTGTGAAAAACCAGGATGGGTTTCCTTTTTATGGTTTGTGATAGATCAGGCTAAAGCAGCTGTAATCGCTGGCGGGCGTGTTTTAACTCAATCACGTTGTCATTCTCGCTTGTCCTCCCCTAACGGATATGCCCACGTGTATGCGTTTAATTTCTGTCCTTACTTTTTGTCCATCTTTGAGCCAAACGGGTTAATTCGTTTTGATTCTTGTTGTGTTTCAGGTTCTGTTGGGGAAGGTGAACACCGGCCTAAACACCACCCAGGTGGTGGTGAAGGAGCTCAAATCCAGCTCCAGCGTTCAGAATCAGATGCACTTCCTGGATGAAGTTAAACCTTACCGGTACACGTTTCATCTTCCTACTTGTGTGTTTTGGGCTTTTTAAAAAATCCTTGTTATTCTCCGGTGAAAATACATCTGCATGTTTGAGTCATCACAAATATTTGAGTTATACAGTTGAAATAAAATATCACGTTTGTTTAATTTAACATCTTCTACAGAATTCTTTTTAATCTGACTCAATAATGACAGTGAATGTGTGTGTGTGTGCCTGGGTGAAGGACCTTGGGGGTTCTCTGACTCTAGAGGGTGCTACATCAAATACAGGTCATGTACCATATTGTACATGTTTTACAATAGTCTTCTAATAAATATATTTTTCAGTACTATTTCATATGTTATAAGAGTTAGTTTGAATTTAGAGATAAAACAGATTTTTGTAGATAATTATAACTTTATAACCTGTTTTGAAGGGATTATCTTAATCTGGCTTGTAGTGCTGGAGCAACAACAAACTCTTAAGGAGCCCAAAAAGAAATAAATAGAATGTCTGAGTCTAGAAGGAAGTGTAAATTTCAGACTGTTGTCTTTCTAGTGGTGATGTGTTCAGACCTCACTGATCTTCCTGTCTGTCTGTCCCCAGGACACTGGAGCATCCTGCTCTGCTGCAGTGTCTGGCTCAGTGCACAGAGGTCACTCCCTACCTGCTGGTGATGGAGTTTTGTCCACTGGTGAGCAACCAAACACAGGCATGATATCAGTTAAAGAGCTCAGTTTGAGTAACATCATTCAGGTTCTAACAGTACCATCACACACATCTTGGTTTCTACTTGTAAACATTGAATTTCCTTTTGCTCTTAACGCATCATGGGAAATGAAGTACCTTCTTTCAATGGAAACTTCAAACATTCAAAGTCTTATTTATACTATATTAAAGCAAACATTGAAAAATGTCCTCACAGTTTAAATGATACAGCACATAATCTTTTGGTGAACTAAACTGAACACGTGCTGTGACGTGTGTCCGTGCAGTTTTGTCATCTTCATTTGGCGATTAAATTATTCTTGGCAGCTGCTGTAAATTAGAATTTATGAACCCAAGCTCCACTTGTTCTACACTAACTAGTAAAATACTTCAACAGATTTATAGTTTTAATTGATTAAATTATTACGTTTAAAGTTAACTGTACTATAACTCATTTTTGGCTGATGTTTTACAGAAATTAAAATAAAGTTGGAGACTCTGCCGAAGTGTCATCAGTCCACTCTGAGCTTTGTCAGATGGACAGATTTTGCTCATGTCCTTTACATAAATCTGAGGATCTGTTCCGTCATGCAGCCTTCAGTGTTTTTATGGCTGGGCTGTTAATGGCTGCTTCAGTCCAGTGGATGCAATGGAAACACTGCCCCCGTGTGGTAACAAGCGGCTGTTGAATTTCTCTCCGTTTAGGGGGATGTGAAGGGTTACCTCCGAAGCTGCAGGTCTAATGAGACCATCATCCCAGAACCCCTGGTTCTGCAGAGGATGGCCTGTGACATTGCATCAGGACTCTTGCACCTGCACAAACACAACTTCACACACAGGTACCTGCAGACTTTCACCACAAAGATTCACTTATGTGTGTAAATTAGAACAAGCTCGGTTGTTGCACCAGCATGATTTCTAAGTGTAATGTTTGGTTGCTTCCTGAAACAATATCCTGGTGCTGCCCGAGTGCTGCTTAAAGACTCCAGCATCAGTGATTTTGTTGCAGGCGGTGACCCCTCTTCTCCGGCCGGGTGACCTTTGCTGTCATTTTTAAAAAGAACAAGATCAGCCTAAAGAAAAACATTTAACCACCAGTCTGTGTTTTTATAAGCAAATCACTGAAACATCATAACAAATATAATATACTCATAATCTTGTGTAACAGCTATGTGTCATCTCCCCCTCTGCCATTAGTGACCTGGCGTTAAGAAACTGTTTGCTGACTGCTGACATCTCAGTAAAGATCGGAGATTATGGTTTGGCGCACACCAAGTACAAGGTAAACCATCTGAAATAAGCAAACACCAGCTGGACAAATGCATGGAAAATCAGAAATATGAAATCACTATTTGTGTTGCATTTATTCCATCTAAGGCAGGGGTGCCAAACTCATTTTAGCTCAGGGGCCACATTGAGGGAAATCTGGTCCGAAGTGGGCCGGACCGGTAAATAAATAAAAAAAAAACTTCAGATTGTTTTCTTTGTTTTAATACAATCAATATGAAACAAAGCTGGAGTCTGAGGACAGTGTATCCAAAATAGTACAAGTACAACACCTGAAGTGTACTTGAAAATTTGAAAAAAAAAAAAAAATCAATCAGTAAAAAAAAAATCCTTAGTGATTCAAAGACCTTACAGATCACATGGCTATATCAGTTCCATGCATCACTTAAAATATATTTGACTCACTTTACTTTACATCTTTTAGCTTTCACCAGCACATCAACATCAGAAGTCACATCCTGAGTGGCGGCCAACTTCAGGATGTGATTCAAGTTCTTGTGTGAGCCTTGAGCGCAGCTTTGTTTCATTTATACTCGTTACAGAGAAAACTTGCTCACAAAGATAAATTTATTTTCACTCTACATTGTAAAGTATGAAAATAAAGTTTTCACAACCATCTCGCGGGCCGGATTTAACCCGCTTGCGGGCCGCATCCGGCCCGCGGGCCGCATATTTGACACCCCTGATCTAAGGTTTCTAATCCAGTTTCCTTGTTTCAGAATCATAAATCAAATGTAAACAAACAAGGGAATGACGTAATTAGGGTTTGTTTCCTTTGTACCTAACAATACTCCATCTGGCTTTGCCATCAGGATGATTACTACGTGACATCGGATCAGACGTACATGCCACTGCGCTGGATAGCTCCTGAGCTGGTGGATGAGGTTCACGGAAACCTGCTGGTGGCAGATCAGACCCGGCAGAGCAACATTTGGTGTGTTCAGCACTAATACTCCTTCTGACATTCTATACATTTTTGTGAGAATGGTTGTTTACATGAAACAGCTTTTAATGCGGTGGCTTTTGGATGACTGGATCATTTTTCATCTTCGGCCTAAAGACGGTGTCACGACCTCTTTGGCAGTTCTAGGGTAAAGGAAGGGGGAACATAAAAAGGTGTGTGCACAATGTTCAAATTCAGTTTTTATTACAGAAGGAGTTGAAATAAATGATGCTGCATACTTTGTAAAATAATTAAACTACTCAAAAACATCCGACTATTTGTTTTACCTTTACACATAATGCTGACTCGACACAAACACTTTTACATAGAGTCTTCTAAGCATACGCGTTTTGGCAGGAAGGCACCAGCACAGATCCGGTTCCTTCCTTGTTTCAGCATTTAGCCAAAGCATTTAAGCCATATTCTCAGACAAAGCTCTGTCAAGCTCTTCTGTTTTATCAACCAAATAAAAGCCAGCACAACAAAAAAACAAAGCGACGTGGGGTCGTCAGCACAGATCTGGGCCATCTTCAAGGTAAACAGGTTAACAAAGTATTTACACTCATAAACACAAACAGAGCTGTCTCAAACCTTTCTAATCAAAACTTGTCTTCAAAGCATCATAGACCCATTGAAAGTTCTTGTTTACATCCAGGTAACTGTGCACATCCACACAATCTGGAGGGCAAGAACCCCATCTCCAGCCCTCATCCAAAGCTGTACCTCCACGATTTAAGCTAACAAAATAAAAGCTAGGGATTTAGATATTACTACTTTAGATTATCTAACACATCTTTGTGCAAATGAACAAAAATTAAACATCTTAAAGCTAACAGTGTTTAGCATAAAGCTTCCAGATCCGTTAGCTATCCATGGGGACGTCAGTCCTCAGAACCGACTGTCTTGACTTCACAGCTGAACTGAGGGTGTAACCGGATCTCTTCTAGGTTTTGCAGGTCAGTGCTGAAGGATCGCAGTGACACTGTTCGTCTTTGGAGATGAATGGATGCTCCGTTTATTCTTACAAGCAACAGAAGCTGAAACACGAATGACATTAGCGGCTGCCTGCTCCAATTGCACAACACAGTAATTATTGTAGCAAGACTGTTACTGCAGGTCACACAGAACTACATCTCTCTCTCTCTCTCTCTCTCTCTCTCTCTCTCTCTCTCTCTCTCTCTCTCTCTCTCTCTCTCTCTCTCTCTCTCTCTCTCTCTCTCTCTCTCTCTCTCTCTCTCTCTCTCTCTCTCTCTCTCTCTCTCTCTCTCTCTCTCTCTCTCTCTCTCTCTCTCTCTCTCTCTCTCTCTCTCTCTCTCTCTCTCTCTCTCACACACACTCTCTCTCTCTCACACACACACACACACACACACACACACACACGCACACGCACACGCACACGCACACGCACACACACACACACGCACACACACACACACACACACACGTTTATTTCTCAGGGACTGATTGGTTGGTTTTCCCTCGGCCGGCTCCACATCCCCGCGGTCTTTCATAAATATATAAAAAAGCACATAAGTCGATAGATGGCTCTGACTTGTTGGTTTCTGGACAATAGGGCAGACATTTTACTTTTTTTATTCTGTCACAAAACTTTGTCTGCCCCAATGTGGTTGGTTTAACCTCTAGAACTGACTCATTGCATGCGGCATATTTTATCAGCTGTAAACCTGTCAAATTTAATGTTACTGTCCTTCTTTCATCTACTTGTGCGGCCTACAGCTCTATGTGTGTTACCCACGCTGACCAATTTTATTTAGCCTCTATTTAGCTCTGTTTATTGAAAACTAACAGATAAATGGTGGTCAATGGGGAGGTTGACCACCATTGTTATTAAAAGAAAAAGAAAAACAACAAAAATCTAAAAACGTTCCCTCTCCCCACAGCCTGACCCAACGGACCCACCAGCCACTCAAACCGTATTAATTTCCCCTAATGCCAGTGTCTGCCAGCATCACTCTTATTTGAACTGTAAATTTCTCACAGCTGAAAAAGAAGCACTCTTTGCTTCTTTTTCTTCTAAATTATCATGGCAGTTGGTACATTACTGCCACCAACTGGTGTGGAGTGAGGACTGGAACGTCCCCTCTCCCCAATAAAAAAAACACTGACATCCTTCTAAAAACACACCATCTTTTAAAAATCCAGAAGAAGACCTGATACCATTCACAGCAGTAAATCAATAAGGTCCAGTTTAATTTTCATTCTACTTAAGTTCTGGATAATTAAGTTCCTCTCCACTTGATTTAGCTTATTTTTGACAACTAAATATAACATGTTTTATAGATTCCTCTTTCCAAAAGTTACCTGTATAGTAGGTTCGTCCTGGGTATCTCAAGGCTATGGATGTTGTAGGGCTGTCATGGTTGACACGTCTCTGCAACATTGCGTGGTCATCGGGGGCAGTTACTGTGGAGTGGCAGACCGGGGTGGTGGTCCTCCTCCGCTGATGATGACCGGATGCACACCGCGGAGGGATGGGTGGCACCGAGAAGCTCCGAAATGAGTGCGGGGGAGTAAAATCCCCCCGGCTCGTCACAATCACCGGGCTGATGAAACCGACATCAGGCCGGAGTTCCAGAAGCGTTCCTCGATCATAAGTCAGCAGTAGGGATGCACTGTCCACACAAAGCGCAAGAACCAAAACAGGAATAAACATGTACAGAGGAGAGTGTCCGTGAGACAGACGGCGTGCCACACACACTGACGCCATCTTGCTTGAATGAGAGAAGCACCTGAACCTCCCTCATGAATGATGTACTGTTCAAACCAGTATGGCCAAATCTTAAAGCCCTCTTTGATTCTGGCAGCTTTGTGTTTTAAACTCTCGGGTGGTAATCATCAGATTGGGAGTAACTGTGCAGTCAGGAGAGGGAGGAGGAAGATGTATGGAAGCCCTTAAAGCGGCCAGATGACAATTAGCATTTGAATCTTGATCAAATATCTGCTAAATGCCATTCTGTACAAGTCTCATGTCCTCTGGTCAACAATCTAAAAGTTATTTTGTCTTATATTTCCATAGTAAAATAAAACTGATTGTCTTATAGTTGGTATATTCATATTAGATAGTTCCCAGACCCAGCTGGCTAAAGTATGGTGGCAAGATTCAGCCTTAGAGATAAGTTGAGCTGTTGCTCCCCAGGCCCTGGCTGCAGACTACAGGGACTGATATTGGGTGGAGTCAGACACACAATGGGCGTGGTCATTCAGTCAATGATCTGCAGCTGGGGGGACTTGGGCCCCAGTATCTGATTAGAATGCCTCCTTGTCACCTCCGTCTAAAGGTTTCACAGACATGTCTCACCGAGAAGAGGCCCTCAGGAAGACCCAGAACTTGCTGGGGGCTAATGTATCCTCTGTGACCTGCAACACCTCCCCCGGAGACAGAGCTGGGGAGAGGAGTGCCTGGGCTTCTTTCCTGGAAGGGGGATATTTATCTTTAGGTCAAAAATGTTAATCCAGTTTGTGCATCCACTCTAAGGAGTAACCAATTAGCTCACAAGTTAATGTAAAACAAAGAAAGAAAATACTAGAACATCTCTTAAGTCTGTGACCAGAACAATGATTAGAGTTTTTTGTCCCTTTAGTTTAATATGTTTGCTCCTGTGAAAGTTTTATACTGAACCATCAATGTGCACCTCGTCCTGTGTCCCAGGTCTCTAGGTGTAACTATCTGGGAGCTGTTTGAGTTGGGAAACCAGCCCTACAGACACTACTCTGACAGACAGGTGCTAACTTATGTAGTGAGGGAGCGGCAACTGCGACTTCCCAAACCGCTGCTCAAAGTGCCCTTGGCTGAGCGCTGGTGAGTCACACACAGCAAAGCACCCTTTCCAAATGAGGGGATTCCCATTTCCTGCAGATTTAACTATGTAAACTCTGGATGTGTGTGTGTTCCAGTAGACGTGTGTTATTAGTATTGGTATTTTACCTGTAATTATTGTTCCTGTCATAGGAAGCCAAGTGTACACACCTACAAATGATTATTCTGTTCATCCTGAATCAGTGTTTTTTGTTTGTTTTGGGGCTCTTTAGGCATGAAGTGATGCAGTTCTGCTGGCTCCAGCCGGATCAGAGGCCAAATGCAGAGGAGGTCCACCTGTTGCTCAGCTATCTGTGCGCCAAGGGGGCCAGTGAAGCTGAGGAGGATTTTGAAAGGCGCTGGAACTCCCTGCGTCCTCATGCTGGATTCAACAGCCAGCATGGGGCCTCCACCATGTCCCAAGACCACCCCTCTCCCTCCTCCTCTTCGTTCCCTCTACTAGAACAGTTTTCAGCAGGTGATGGCTACCACTCAGAGTCTGGAGATGACATTCTAACAGTCACAGAGACCAGTCACGGTCTGAATTTTGAGTATAAGTGGGAGCAAGCCAGAGCAGACCAGCCATATGGAGCCCCAGAATCCTCGAGCTCCTTGGAACCAGCCACTCATTGTCAGGAAGAGTTTTACCCACCTGGAGGCCTTGTCGGAGGATGTCCAATGGGAAACTTGAGCCATGAAGTTTCTTCTCCTTACTATCAACCAAAACACTTGCATCCTCCAAATGTGCTACCTGTCCTTAGTGCCCACAGCCCCTCCGTAAGCAGTGAATACTACATCCGCATTGAAGAGCCAGTGGACTGTAACATTGATCTAGATTACACCATGTGCTCCTACAGCCCAGAGTATCAGGGCAGCAGTGGGAGCTTCCTGACTGGCAGTGTAGACTCAGGTGAATGTATGGCCTGCCCTTCACAGAATAAAAATATTGGTCCCTATTGGTCTGCAGAAATCCATAAATCAGACACATACGACTCCAATGACTCAAGTCCAGCTATTTCCTTGACAATGGAACCCCTTATAGGGCAGGTGTCAGACAGCAGCCCCATTCGGCCCTGGGAGTCAAGTCACTATGTGTCTTACAAAGACAGAGATGGGGGTTACTACTATGAGCATTCCTCACCTTTAGAAATAGATCCCTATTTGATTGGCAGCAAGCATTCCAGTGGGCATCATCAAGAAAGCTGGGGGTCAAGAAGCCTTCGTCAGGCTTTGGGTGAGCTAGAGAACCCCATGGGTGTCTCCCCATCTCTGAACAGTCCAGCTGAACAGGCATACAGAGACTCATACCTGGACACAAGTCAGACCTCTATCTTAGGGAAGAACATAACTGGGGGCTACTACGACATGATGGGCTCCTTAAGGAAGACAATGCCCAGTCACACAAGGCACAACAGCCACTCTGTTAGCATCAACATGGAGACCAGGGGGGCCCTCTTCATTGGGCACAGTGATTCAGAAGAGGATGATGATGACATATTTGTTGAGAGACACACCTGTAACACTTGGCCTTCAAAACACCGTCACAGCAGCCACCACCGACGGGGGAGCCACAGCTGCAGACAGGACACCTACGCTGATTTCCACTACACAATGCCAAGTACGGACATTGAAGACACATGGCCAGAGGATCACAGCCTGACTTTTCACTCCCTGCCTAAACCCATTGACTATCTCGAGACACACCAGGCCAAAGACAACAGTGCCTGTCTCAGTCTGAATAAACATCATTCTATGGTGCCCTCAGAAAATTGCAACGCCTACATTTACCTGTGCCATGAGGGTGAGACCCAGCTACCAGTGTCTGGAGAGTGTTGCCACTCTCACTTTGTTGATCCCCTCACAGGCCTGCTGATCAGAAACAACAGCTACTGTCAGAGCTACAACCACAGCAGCTACATTAGAGATAAGGCCACTGATATACCAAACAATGAAGAGATGATCAATCTCTCACCAGCTCCAGGGGGTCCCATTGTGTCCAAACCTGCTTTGATGAAGCCTTGTGACTGTGAAGAGCAGAATGTTAATCTTACATCTGATGAACTGCCACCTAAAGAGAAGAGAGAGGAAGCAATCACAGAAAATCAAATCACGCAGAAATCACCAGAACCTAGACTAGAGGAGGAGAATCTGATGATGACGAAAGACTCTCCACCTCCTGCTGACAACATGCATGTGATGGTGTCCATCACAGACCCACAGTCAGAGCTGAGCCACACGGCTGACAGTGGGATGGAGCATTGTGGCTCCACCGTAAGCCTCGCCGACATCCTCGACTGCAGTGACGGAGATGACGACATCACAGACGATATCACTGATGCCACTTCGGGGATCTTCGCTGATGAGGGAAGTGAGCTGAATGCATCTCCTGCTTTCAAGTCTCTCCAGAAGCAGGTTGGGACTCCAGATTCCATGGACTCCATGGATTTTCTGTCAGCAGCTGGATCTTGTGAAGGCCTAAGCCCTGCATCCTCCCACCCTTCCAGCTCGCCTAAAGCCATGGACAGTGGTTATGATACAGAAAACAACGAGAGTCCTGAGTTTGTCCAAAAAGAATCCCACGACTCTCGGTTACAGCCTCAGGGAAAGCCTACCCTTGATGCAAGTTTGGAGGAAGATGAGGAAGAGCATGAGGATGATGTGGTGCCTTCAGATGGTGAGGCATTAGTGGGTGAAGATTTGGGTTTGGGAAACTCGGAGACAGGCGACCAAATTCTTTTACCGCTGAGCGATAAGACTCCATACAGAGACTCTGCCTATTTTTCTGACTATGAGAATGAAAGACAGAATCGGGATAATGAAGGGGAACTCCAGCTGAGAGACAACGATGGACAAAATGATGGAGAACAGCACGTTGGAGAGACAACGTGTGAAAAAGGGGAAAATGATGAACTACTGGTTAACAAAGAACTAAAACTCAATGTAGAAGATGAACCAAATTACCCAACAGAATCCTCTGCTGCTGCTCCAGAGACAGAAATGTGCTCGACAGAGCACAGCTGCCTGGATGAGGAACCAGAACCATCCCAGGAGCCCTCTGATATAGAGGGAATTCTGGATGAGTGGTCTTCCCAGGAAGAGAGTTCATCACTAGGAGACTGGGCAGCTGAGGTAGTGGGGGCCATGGAGGAAGCTCTTGGTGCCCTCAACGGAGACTGCGCCTCCAGTTGTAAAGTTGACGAGAAGGAAACTGGAGGTGTTCGGGCTTCAGAAACAGATGAGACCTTTGTGAAAATGATTCAAAAAAGACCATCAGGGGTATCGAGTGAAATCCCACACACCTTACCCAAAGATGAGGTGGCCTTGCAACACACAGCCAACAGCAGACGGTTCTCATCCTCATCCTCCTCACCCGTTTCCCCTTCAACACCTCCTCCACTGCTTTCAACAACAGAAGGTCGAGCCTCTCCAGCTGATGGTGAAGAGGCTGATGAAGAGGACGGCAACACTGATGACAGCGATGAGTCAGATGAAGAGCTTCGTACCTACAGTGTTCAGAGCGGAGGCGAGGAAAGTGAGGAAGAGTGTCACCTCGTGCCCACTGTGGTGAGTGACAACAGCGAGGCCCACAAACTGAGAAGCCTCCTCAAGATGCCAACTCCTCTGCGTGCTGAGAACCTGGAAGAGGAGCTGGAATGCAAGAAGAAGACTGTGTCCTTCTTTGATGATGTCACAGTCTATTTGTTTGATCAGGTGAGGCACAAAGATGAAATACATTCAAAACTATTTTAAAATGATCCATTAGGCTTCTTGTCTTAATGTTGCTCTACCTTATGAAAATATCCATCAAAGTCTGAATACGTTTAATGATTTAACCAACAGGAAAGTCCGACTCAAGAGCTGGTGGAACACGGCTTCTCTTTAGCATCAGAGAGTCGAAGCTCTTTGAGGAAATCCCAAGAGAGGTTGAATATCTCAGACGACTCCTCAGATGGGAACATCTCAGAGGAAAGTGAGTACATGAGGATACGCTTTCCATCTAGAAAACATCTTTAGTAAGAACATATCACTCTCTTCCTCACCTTTGCCTCTCAGGTGCAGGTTTTGAGTGGGAGGATGACTTTCCCCTCCCGCCTCTACCAACATCCTCAACAGCCAATGACTCACCTCCACCTCACACCGTCACCAAAACCCCGGACCCAAAACCAGCCGTCCAGTTCTCTCGTTTCACCGTCTCCCCATCCAGCATGTCCCGGTTCTCCATCACGCCCATTTCTGACTCCGATATGGACTCAGTAGGAGGTTGGTCCCTTCCACACCTACAACAACTCACTGTCCTGTTGAAGTATGGAAGGAAATAGTTTCGAGATAATCTCAGTATCTGAGGGATAGGTGCTGATGATGATGTCTGCTCACCGCGTTACGGCTCACAACCCTGTTGTGGTCTTACCCGGTTAGGTGTTTTCATCAGTTTGAGTTGTAGGTTGCTGGTTAAATCCCCCTGAGGTAATGAGTGCTTATTATACTACAACTATACTACACACCAACGGTTCGATGCATTGTGCGTCTTAAATCTCATGCAGTGACTAAACTAAAACGACTTATAAAACAACTCATTGCTTTTGTCTTCTTTCTTCAGGAAGCAGTGAGGATGGAGACAAGGAATAAAAAAATGGGATACTCTGCCTCTGACACCCGCAGCTCCCTTAGCATGACTGGATTTCTATCTTATTGTCAGGTTTTCAAAACACGAGACAGTGCCTCTTACCACCCACAAACTTTTAACGTTTTGCCACGACGTAGGACTTGCTGAACTAGAAGAGAATAGTGAAAAGAGAATGATGAAGATATTCCATTTCTAGAATAATATCCACTATATGGATGATGATGAAACACTGAGTGTGCATATTTTTATGGACTGAAGGAAAGACCCTTACAAACATCAATTTTGTCACCTCTTTAGTTTTTTAACTCATAACTGGAAGCATTCATAAAGATGTGGAGCCATCTCAACATAAATGTGATAAAGTTGTCACCAGACTGCTGCAGAATAAACACCAACAATCTGGGTTTTCAACAAAGGATCAGCACTTTGAACAAGACCGTACAGCTCCAGACTTTGTACTTTTTAGGAAACATTTTATTAATAAATATATAAATGCTTGAGGCACAATAAGTAATAAATATTTGATTAATCTAGAGACGAGGGACGTCTTAATGTGAAATGAAGCAATGGGACTGTGAACATCTGCCTGGATTAGGACAGCTTATGTTAAAGCTGGTCAGCAACTCAATTATTTGTGACTTTTTATTTGCTGCATCACAACCAGCCCATCTCTGCTGCAAGCGTCAGACAGAATATTGTCTCTAAAACATGAAGTTTAAAACAAAACAAAACTGTGCATCTAGATTTCATTTTTGTCTGTTTTGCTGTGCATGGTTCCACGTAACTAGAAACATTATTTCTCACAGGTCAAAGGAGCAGATCTATGGTGTTGACAGCATTTTGTGGCATCTTCATTATGAAACCACAACTTAAATGTTTTGTGCCTCGGCTCAGAAACAGTTCAGGCTAAGTGGGCTTGTTTTTAGGAAATCTCAACTTCATCACATTGATGCAAAGATTCTGCAAATCCAGATTTGACAGAAAGCGAAAGTGTTGACTTGGTTCAGATGAAGATGCACTGCTTCGAGACTTTCAGCAGGTTTTTTTGCGCCTCAGCCTGCAGGTGGGTGAAGGTTACTGCAACAAAAGCCAGTTGTGTTGTAAGCACGAAGGTTTAGACTGAATGGCTTTGGAGTTTGGAAGCGTGGTCACCAAAAACGACAACTACAACAGCGTTGTTCTGGTTCACATCATTTAGTCTCTTTAGAGTAAATAAAAGTTTCATGACTGTTAATGTGAGCTGACTGAAACACCGGATCTGTTAAATGACCCGGTGACAAAGACAATCACTTAAAACACTTGAAATAATCATACATTAAAAACAATATTACAGATATAACGAAAGACCCTTTCAGACCACATTGACCGTTTCCTGTTTCTTATTGTTTTTGATGGCGTAGTGCAGCAACTGCTGCTAGTAGCTCATGACAGGGCTGTTAATAGAGCAGTTTTATTTTGCTTTAATGCCAAATTCTGACTCGATCATCACTGAATCTGTGCTGTGATGACTGGCCAAAACACAAAGAGCTAATGTGGTTGCTTTGGTAAAAACGGCATCAAGACATCAGCCTAAACTACTTAGAGATGAACAAAAAGGAGGTCATCAGAGTCTGATTTATACAAAATGACCCAAAAGTTTGATTTTTTTAAAAACTTGTCTGAACATATCGTTGCCAAGCAGGAGTAAAAACATCCGACTCCTTTTTTCAGTCCATGAAATAACTGCTGAGACATTTACACTATCAACAACACATCATCAATGTCAAGAACACATTTTCCTAAAATGAAAGAAAAGTCAGTTGTTTTCTGTTATTCTTTGAGCTTAATCCGAATCAGCAGGTCAGAGGTGCACACCGACCAGAAACTGCTATTGACCCTCAAACCTAGAATGATATGTCTCTATAAATAAAAATAAATCAGAGGAATGGTCCGATACGCAAGCGTAGGTTTAGTTATGCCACAATTGCACACACAGGATTAACAGATTTCTGTTATTTTCCCAAATCACACACCCACTCAGAACTAACCAGAACCTTTACGGATCCCTGCCAACAGTCCAAGAGCACCCAGGATAGGAAACTTTCCAAACTTCTATTGTTTGTGAAACATTTCATGAGCCAGATGATCTTAATGCTCTGAACAATCTGGTCTCTAACTGGTCATGACCCATTTGGACTCAGACCACTCATCACAGTGGTTGTTCATGGTGTAAACATCCTTTACAGCAAATCTTGGTAGGTTTGATAATCCCATCATCTTATTACTGACACAACATCTGCAGGGAAAAAAACAAAACACCTTTCCCTCCGGACCCTCGTGATGCTGGGACACTGACCTAACAGGATCTGACTGGTTTAGGGGCTGAAGCACAAGCTGAAAGGGACCTGAGGATCCTGTGATGTGGAAATTTGTGATCTTTAAATTGACCAAGTTCTGATGAAAAGGTCCAGTTTTCTGTAGCCTGAAATAAAGTAATCAGTTTCTATGAGAGAGGAAGTATTTTACTCTATTCTCACCTGGTGTCTTGGTTACTGTGATGTTCTTTGGATGTTTTAGGTTCAGAAGAAATGAGTTCAGAGTGGATTTCATTCAAACTATTAATAAAAGATGGCGACTGTGAGACAAGGGAATCAGCTCCAACTTGAGCCATAACGTTTTGCAGTGTGAATCATGAGTCAAGTGTTCCTTTTGTCTGATCAGCTGAGCGACAACTGAAGCCTGATGTCATGATAAAGTGTTATAAAGCTGTTTTTCTGTGTGTGATGTGAGAAAGCAAGACCGAGGAGGTCTGGGAGACATGGAGATGCAGAATCCTGCTTTTAAATGGACATGAAGTGTCTTCTAAGTGTTTGTTTGCCTTCACAGGCTTTAATATTCTGTAAAAGTCTAGCATAGAAACATCTCGACTGTCTGTAAAAGTTTTGTATCTCAACAGAAATACTTTAAGTAGTATTTATGTTCTGTACCTTTGAAAAAGGAGGGTTAGAAATAAAGAAGATATCCATTAACTGTTGCCAAAGAGATGTTGTATTGTGCTTCAGGATGAAGTACAGCTGGTGTTTTAGCTCAAAATGAAGACGAAGAAATGAAACAGGGCAGTGGCGTTAGCCTCGAGCTGATTGTACTAGTGTGTGCAGGAGAGGGTTTGGGAATCTGTCGATACGCGCCCCCACACGGACCTGCTCACATCATCACTTTCTGTACTTTCTATCAAAAATAAATCAACTCTGGTTTACACGACCCAAAGCTTTGTTGGCCATCAGTAAATGGTGTTTTTATAAAGTCAGCTGTGTCTTAGTTTTGTAAACTTTACATTTATAATCCCTGTAAAAAGTAAAGTCAGCTTTTTAGATTTTATATTTCACAACATGAAAGAATGTATCCATGATGTTATTTTAAAAATCAGGTAAATATAAACGGACCAAGAATGAGATGACATTACATAGAAGCAGTATGAGATGAACTGAGTTAATCTTCATTTCTATAAACAAATGAATTCAGTGGCGTTGATTTTTAGAAGAAGAAGAAGAAAATATCATTTCTATAGCGCCTCTCAAGATAAAAATCACGAGGCGCTTCACAAAAACAAAAAAATATAAAAATTGTAAAAAAATAAAAAAGCACTTAGAAAATGTTTAAAAATATATTTAAAATGAGCAAGAATAAGCAATTACGATTTAAAAGAAAAAATGTTAAGAAAGAGAGAGAGAGTGAATAGGAAAGAGGGAAATCAGTGGATCCTGAGGAAGGTGGAATAGGTGGGGAGAGCAGAATAGAGAGAGTGGTGAAGAAGGTCATACAAAAGCCACTTTGAACAAGTGAGTCTTCAGCTGCTTTTTAAAGGAGACCACTGATCTCAGGCTCAGGGGGAGAGAGTTCCAGAGTCTGGGGGCCACAGCAGCAAATGATCTGTCACCTTTGGTCTTTAGCCTGGTGCTGCACAACCAGTAGGCTTTGGTCACTGGACCTCAGGGACCTGCTGGAGGTGTTGGGACTAAGAAGATCACCAATGTATGATGGTGCCTGTCCATGTAAGGCCCTATAGACCAGAACCAGGATCTTGAAATGAACCCTGGAGGTGACTGGCAGCCAATGAAGCTGGAGGAGAAGCGGGGTGATGTGGGTGTGTTTGGAGGACTTGTCAGAAGCCGAGCACAGGCATTCTGAACCACCTGTAGACGGTTCAGGGAGGTTCTGCTCAGACACGTGAAAAGAGAGTTATAGTAGTCTAAGCGTGAGGAGATGAAGGTGTGGAGAACTGTCTCAAGTTCAGAGCGAGACAGAATGGGACTCAGCTTAGCAATGTTCCTGTGATGGAAGAAGGAAGAGGGAACAAGAGAACCGACATGAGAATCCAGGGTGAGAGATTTACATATGATCATGAATTTAAACTCCTCTGTAAAAACAGGACTACGGCTTTGCAGCTCTGGAGCATACAGGTGTGTGTTAACATCAGCAATGACCTAATGGGACAGAGCGTTGCTCCTCATCAGGGCAGGGTCAAAGGTCATTTGCAAACTACCTGGAGTTCATCATTCAGCAGCGATTATGAAACATGAGTGGGAAACCTTTACAGCAGCTGACAATCTTCCTAGAAGAGGACATCCCAGCAAGTTCACCCAAAGGTCAGAGGTCAATGCTTAGAAGACCGATGCAACAGGATGCAGCGGGTTAGAGGTTGTAATTTGTGACCGGACAACTTCGATTTGGTCTGTTTGGAAGGCTGCAGCAGAAGCTGCAATGTAAAAACAAAACCATGGTTGATCAGTTCAAGCTGGAAACATTTCACCAGAGTGAACAAAGACGTTTGTTGTCTTTTGAACAAGAATGGAGCGACGCTGTGGAGGCGAGGGAACCAGAGCTCCTCCAGAACCACAATAGTTACTGTTGTAGGAGTTTGGACAAGCAAGTGGACTCTGGTTTCCACTCTTGTGTGAATAAACACTATGTAGTGCAGCTAAAATCTGGTGAGGTATCAATAAAATGTTAGATAATCAACATTAAACTCAACTGAAACAGGTGAGTTTTTTTTTTAATTCTCAGTACATTAACCAACTACTGAAAACAACCAGTTTTATTTGCTGAGATTTTCATTTAGGAACCTTTTGGGGAAAAAAGTGCCAGAAACAGAAAATATAAAAATCAACCTCCAACACAATCCGGTTAAATAACAGATTTATTCTCCATAACTTTCATTCAGAAAACAGACATTGTGTTAAGTCATCAGAACACGTAATTATGCAGCGCTGACATTTGTTAAGCCGTTTTTACACCGTAAAAGATTTGTGCCACTCATTAACCTCTTTTTGTTATTTCCTAGAAAACCTGTTACATAATTATATAAAACTAAAGCTTAGCAGCAAAATGTAAGACATGGAATGAAAAACTAAAATGACTCATTAAGTGATCAACATCAGTGAGTTAATTGGAAGAAAAAAATAGAAATCTGCTAAACAGCAATTTTGCCTGTTGTGGTAATTCATTATTTACAATTTGTAAAATTAAACTAGAAGTTTTTAGATTTAGGGTTATGTGTTATGCAATGTTAATCACCTGAAACATTTGCTTAAAGTATTTTGATTTCTTTATTCTTTTGTAAATCAAATTATTTGTTATTTTCTCAGTCACTTTTTAAAGCAGCTGAATCGTGCACCAGTTTATTACTCATCATATCTAAACAGCTGATCGTTGTGTGGAGGAAGGCACCAATGTTATTAAACCCAAGCTTTGTTTATTTCATGAGAAAACAAATACCTGAATTTTGTTAAAGATTGAAGTGTTCACATTTCATTAGTACACATGCACTAATGAAATGTGAACATGTGCAGCTAAACTTGAGTTAATTAATCTAAATCTTGTTTTGACAACTACGAACTCTTCTTTGTTTTAGTAGCATAACTCCGATGCCATTTGACAAGCAGACCGCTACCTGGCAGATTTGAAACTGAATATTACAGCCTAGTGTAAAAATCACATTTTTAAAAAGGTCTATTCTGTTGTTTTGTCATTTGACTCAAATCTGTCAGCACAGGGTTTTCTTACCAATTAAAGAAGAGTGTAAACTTGTGGTTTTTTCTGTCTCACACCAACGCTAAAGGGTGTGTTTTAAAGACACTAAAAAGAAACAAAATGAGGAAATGTTGGGGCTAGAGGTCAAAAAGTCAACAAAAGTAATCCTCAGTGTTCTCCTGAACCCGACTGTATTAGTTGGCTTTGATGTTTATTGTAATCGGAGCGTATTTTACTACAAACACAAAAGATGAGATACTTTTGATAAATACAAGGATCAGTTTTTTGCCCACACCTACAAGAGCGAACGTTCTTCAGCTCCCCTCTGGAAGCTGATGCGGAAGCAGCCAAAAGGACATTTTAAATTTAGTCCCAACACTTCCTCGGTCATTTATTTTCTTCTCAACGGCACCGACACTTTTTATAACAAATTCAAACATTCCTACACAGATCCTTTTATACAAACACATGATTTTGACAGCACTTTTAACTCCAGAAACTGTTTTTGAACCATAAAAATGTTAAAGCATCTCAAGTGCAATGCAGAGATAATTCAAACAATTCCAAATGTGACAATATTCTAGTCATTCAGATGAAACACACAGTTTTGTAGCATTTAAAGAACTGAAACCGAACATTAACATAAAAACTGCTTCAATCGTAATAAATTGGTAAACCTGGCTAACAGGCGCATTCCACCAAATTTAAAAGTGACACTAATCTGCACTAAAGGTGAAAACACTGTTCTGGTCTTTAATCCTTAAATTTAACAGAAAAAGTTCATGAACAAACAAAAATACAAAAAAAATTTAAAAAGATAGAATGGATTTGATTCTAAAACATGCTAAACCTGCTGCTAATTTAATTGAATGAAAACTGTTTGTTGCCTTTGCTCTTCAACACAACCTGGAAAAAAAAAATCAGAGAATCTCCTGAATCATGTTAAAATACCACAACATCGAGATTTAAATGGAAAACTGATGATCTTTGTTTTATGTTCAAACAACAGTGTTTGATTGATTTGATTTTATTTTTCCAGTGCTCATCAATGCTGGGTAATTAATTTTATAATAAACTGCAGTAATCTTACATTGTTCGTAACCCTTACCAGAACTTGTACGACACACAATCCTTACAAGTTAAAGCTTGTAATAAAGTGGATTATTCAGGATTTCCAACTGTAAAATATTTCATGCCAAGGAGCATTTTTATAAGAAATAATAGAAAAACACAAATGTATTCCATTTGGACAGCAATGAAGTTTCACTAAATCACAGTTCCAAACAGGTTTTAAGAAGACAAACAGTAGAATGAATGAAGTTCAGTCAGACACCCGTGTGTGAGTGTGCCAGTGAGAGGAGATAACTGGGGCCAAGAACTAATCACATGAGGGGAAATATAATATTTTACACAGAAACTGAAAAATCACTAAAAGCTCCAAAATGCTGCTAAACCAACAGGAACACAGCCTCACCTTTCTGGACAAACGATCTGCTTTTATTTACATCCCATCATCTCTCAGCTAGCAGAGGTTCATCCTGTTGATCTGACCCGTTATTTATCACTTCATCCCCCCCCCCCCCCCCCCCCCCCCCCCAGTTATTTAAATGCTGCAGCTGAATCCAGAGCCACGGAAATCCTAACTGTGCTGGTTTTAACTGAGCAGGTCAGAATTTCTCCACAGGAGCTGAAGCTTTCTCCACATAGTCATAGTGAGCTTCATCAGGCTGCTCCGTCTCCGACTCCTCTTCATCAGACAGGGGCGGCTTGGCTGGAGCCTCAACAACCGGCTCGCTGGGCGGATCTCGGCTGGAGGATGAGAAGAAGAAAGACAATGCTGAAATTGATCATGGAGTTGTCCAAATCTTACTGTACAGCATGCAAACCCTTCAAACGGGCTCGGAGAAGGCTGAAAGATGATGCATGTGGTTTTACAAACACTGCAGCTGAAATCAAAGTCTGATGAGCCATGCAAAAGGAACTAAAGATGAGAATGCTGCTGAAAAGACTTCAGTCAGCTCATGAAGTCAGCATTTACATCACAAAACAAGCAGTGATGGAAACGCACCAAAAGTTACACCACAACTCCAAAATCATGCCAGTGAAACACCACTGAAGGAAGGGGAGGGGTTGCACAAAGACCAAAGATCAGCGTTTCACTTCACTTACGAGAGATTTTGTTCAAAACCGTGCGTAATCAGGCCCTTTTCTGAAAGCAGAGACAGTCCTCGTTTATCAGCCTCAAACACAAAAGGACATT